TTGATTTCCATTATCTCATCTTCCTTCCGATACAGGGACTCAAGGTGGCTCTGCAATATTTGGTCACATTTTCCCTCTGTTAGTTTACTTTCGAAGGGGAAGTCCAGCAAGGCAAACCTACTTTTGCTGGAGTTTTAAGATTAGAGAGATTAGAGCGAAAGGTCAGGGAAAACAGCTAAAATTTTGGAAAGCACCCACTTTCTTTTTCCTTGAACAGGATAAGGGCACAGATTACTAATTTTGTTGGTAATAGCAATCGCGTTTTTGAAGGCTTCCATGGCCGAAATCACTGGGTTGCTGTACGTTTTCTGGCTGTATGGCCATGTTCCAGCAGCATTCTTTCCTGACGCTTCGCCTGTGTCTGTGGCTGGCACCTGTGAGACAAGTGTGTGTGTGTATGTGTGTGTATACACACACACACACACACGCACACATACATATATGCACTAGCCGTCCCCTGCCACGCATTGCTGTGGCCCAGTCTGTGTATATGTGTTTTGTGTGTGTACAGGTGTGTATATGTATGTGTTTATACTTGTGTATATATTTTTTTTTATTTCAATTATTTGTACCCCTGAATATCAAGCAAAAAGTGAGTGCTAGAAACACTATCATACGAAAGTTGACTGGCACATCCTGGGGATCACAACCAACTCTGAGGATGCCAGTAGCCACAGATGCAGCCGAAACGTCAGGAGGGAATGCTGCTAAAACATGGCCATACAGTCCAAAAAACTCACAGCAACCCAGCAATATATTTCACAAGGTCTTTAGCTTGCTGCTGTTTTCCTGAACTACAAATTCCAGGATTTCGTAGCATTGAACCATGGAAAGTTAAACTGGTGTCAAACTGCATTAATTCTGCAGCATAGATGCAGTTATTGACCCTGCCTTTGGTCAGTTCAAGCGTTTTAAAGTGTTTGTTAACTGGGTTGTTGTAAGTTTTTCGGGCTGTATGGCCATGGTCTAGACTAGAGGCATTCTTTCCTGTTTGTTAACTGTTTTAAGTTAATTGTATTTGATATTACCCAGTGCCATCCCTCCATATCCATGAATTCTGCATCCATGGATCCATCCATCATGCCAATACAGGGAGTAACCCAAAATCACAAGCATTTTGGAGAAGGGATACTCGGCCTGTATAAATAGAAACTTTGCATCTTTAGTTGTTGGTTTTATTATTTATCATGTCAGTATCAACCAGACAATTGTATTACATTCTTAACAAATTTTTAACAGACAAAACAGAGTTCTACCTCTGAGGATGCTTGCCATAGATGCAGGCGAAACGTCAGGAGAGAATGCCTCTAGACCATGGCCATTTAGCCTGAAAAAACCTACAACAACCCAAAACAGAGTTTGCAAGTTTGGTAGTTGATTAGATGTCCTTTGACCAGTATCTGGCCCCTTGGAGTGCCTCTGGTGTTGCTGCAAGAAGGTCTTTCCTTGTGCATGTGGCAGGGCTCAGGGTGCATTGCAGCCGGTGGTCAGTGGTTTGCTCTTCTCCACACTCGCATGTCGTGGATTCCACTTTGTGGCCCCATTTCTTAAGGTTGGCTCTGCATCTCGTGGTGCCAGAGCGCAGTCTGTTCAGCGCCTTCCAAGTCGCCCAGTCCTCTGTGTGCCCAGAGGGAGTCTCTCATTTGGTATCAGCCATTGGTTGAGGTTCTGGGTTTGAGCCTGCCACTTTTGGACTCTCGCTTGCTGGGGTGTTCCAGCGAGTGTCTCTGTAGATCTTAGAAAACTATTTATTGATTTAAGTCATTGACGTGCTGGCTGATACCAAACAGGGGATGAGCTGGAGATGTCTCTGCCTTGGTCCTTTCACTATTGGCTGCTACTTCCCGGTGGATGTCAGGTGGTGCGATACCGGCTAAGCAGTGTAATTTCTCCAGTGGTGTGGGCACCCCGTGATAATGCGGCATGTCTCATTAGAGCCACATCCACTGTTTTAGCGTGGTGAGATGTGTTCCACACTGGGCATGCGTACTCAGCAGCAGAGTAGCATAGCACAAGGGCAGATGTCTTCACTGTGTCTGGTTGTGATCCCCAGGTTGTGCCAGTCAGCTTTCGTATGATATTGTTTCTAGCACCCACTTTTTGCTTGATGTTCAGGCAGTGCTTCTTGTAGGTCAGAGCACGGTCCAGAGTGACTCCCAGGTATTTGGGTGCGCTGCAATGCTCCAGTGGGATTCCTTCCCAGGTGATCCTCAGAGCTCGGGATGCTTGTCTGTTCTTGAGATGAAAAGCCCATACCTGTTGTTGGTGACTGTCATCTTGAATTATCGCTTCAACTAAAGTTGTTTTTGTATGAACTGATGTCTTAAACAAAATTTTGACCACGTCTCTCTCTCTCTCTCTTATTTTGTTTCTCCTTCTCTCCCTCTATTTTATCTCTCCTTTCTCTTTTTCTTTCCTTTTCTTTCTCCTTTTTTTTTATCTGTTTCTCCTTTCATTTTTCTTTCTTTCCTCTTTCTTTCTTGTTTTCTTTCTTTTTCCTTTTCTCTCTTTTGTTTCTCTCCTCTCTCTCATTTGCTTTCTTCTTCATTTCACTCTTTCTTTTATTTTCTCTTTCCTTTTCCCTCTTTCTTTTATTTTATTTCTCTTTCTTTCTTTCTTTCTTCCGTCTCCTTTCTACCTTTTTCTCCCTCCTTTTTCTCTTATTTTCTTCTCTCCTTTCTCTCATTTTCTTACTCTTTTTCTTTTTCTCTTTCTCTTATTTCTCTCCTTTGTTCTCTCTTATTTTCTTTTCGTTCTTTCTCGTTCTCTTTCTCATTTTTTCTTCTTCCCGTCTTTCTCTTACTTTTTCTTTCTCTTATTGTCTCTTTTTCTCTTTCACCTCTCCCTCTCATATTTTCTTTCCCTCGCTTATTTTCCCCTCCTCTTTGCTCTTATCTTCTCTTTCTTTCTTTCTTTCTTTCTTTCTTTCTTTCTTTCTTTCTTTCTTTCTTTCTTTTTTTCTTTCTCGTTCTCTTATTTTTCTTTCCTTCTTTCCTTCTTTCTTATTTTCTTTTTCTTTCTCTCTCTCATTGTCTCTTTTTCTCTTTTCTATTTTCTTTCACCACTCTCTCTCATATTTTCTTTCCATCACTTATTTTTCTCTCCTCCTTTCTTTCTTATCTTCTTTTTTCTCCTTTTCTTCTTTTTTTCTTTTTCTCTCTGTTTTCCTTTCCTTTCTTATGTTCTTTTTCTCCTTTATTGCCTCTTTCTTTCTCTCTTTCCTATTTTCTTCCACCACTCTCTTGTATTTTCTTTCTCTCATTTATTTTTTCCTTCTCCTTTTTCTCTCACCCTTTTCCTTGCTTGCTTCTTTCTTTCTTTCTTTTCTTTCTCATTCGCTCTTATTTCTCTTTCCTTTTTTTTCTCTTTCTTATTTTCTTTTTCTTTCTCTCTTATTCTCTCTTTCTTTCTCTCCTGTTTTCTTTCACCACTCCCTCATATTTTCTTTCTCTCACTTATTTTCCCCCCTCCTTTCTCTTATTCTTTCTTTCTTTCCTTTTCTCATTTTCTTTCCTTCTTTTTCTCTTTCTTATTTTCTTTTTTTCTCTTGTCTCTTTCTTTCTCTCTTTCCTATTTTCTTCCACCACTCTCTCATATTTTATTTCTCTCGCTTATTTTTCCCTCGTCGTTTCTCTCTTATCTTTTCTTTCTTTCTTTCTTTCTTTCTTTCTTTCTTTCTTTCTTTCTCATTTTCTCTTATTTTTCTTTTTTTCTTTCTCTATTTCTTCTCTTATTGTCTCTTTTCTTTCTTTCCTATTTTCATCCACCACTCTCATATTTTCTTTCTCTCGTTTATTTTCCCTTCTCCTTTCTCTCTTATCTTTTTTTTCTTTCTTTCTTTCTTTCTTTCTTTCTTTCTTTCTTTCTTTCTTTCTTTCTTGTTCTCCCTCCTTTTTCTTTTTTTCCTTTTCTATTTCCTTCTCTCTATTATTGTCTCTTTTCTTTCTCTTTCCTATTTTCTTCCACCACTCTCTCTCATATTTTCTTTCATTTTTCCCTCCACTTTTCTCTTATCTTTTCTTTCTTTCTCGTTCTCTCTTTTTTTCTTTCTCTATTTCTTTCTCTTACTGTCTCTTTTCTTTCTCAGTTTTTCCCCCTCATCGTTTCTCTC